TTTCGCTGATAAAAGGATGTTTCTTCGTGTGTGTGTGTGTGTATGTGTGTGTGTGTGTGTGCATGTATGTTTGTATGTATGTGTGTGTGTGTGTGTGTGTGTGTGTGTGTGTGTGTGTGTGTGTGTGTGTGTGTGTGTGTGTGTGTGTGTGTGTGCGTGTGTGTGTGTGTGCGCATGTATGTTTGTATGTATGTGTGTGTGTGTGTGTGTGTGTGTGTGTGTGTGTGTGTGTGTGTGTGTGTGTGTGTGTGTGTGTGTGTGCATGTATGTTTGTATATATGTGTGTGTGCCTGTATATATGTATATGTATGTGTGTATATTTGCGTATACCGTATGCTATGGTATGGATGATATAGATAAGTGTATGTAATATTTTTACACATATCGATATGTATTTGCATGTACACATACATACAACAAAAACATCTAAACGTATGTAACAATATACACATGTCCTTCATGCATGTACACGCAGTTACAACAGTGTCAAAGAAATATGACAAAAAATAACACAGTCTTTGGCAGTTACGTCAAGTGCCCGCGACAGGATGACACGTGTCCGGCAGAAGCAATATTAAGCGTCTTGTAAATTGCTGTGCGGTTATCATCATCGCTTTCGTGTGACCTTCAAGAAAATAGTCTATCGGTCAGGATTCGAAAATATGCTCAGGTTCATGTATACGTACAGGCGTGATACGTTATACCTATACTTAAAGAAGGGTTAACAGTAAACACAGGTACACATGCAACCACACGTACATAATAAACGCGCACATAGAAGCAAACGCACATATACGATATAGACAGCAAACACACATACACAGCAAACAGATACACAGCAAACACACATACACAACAAACACATACACAAAAAACATACATACACAAAAATCACACATATACAGAAACACACACAAAGCGAGAATAGACGAAAGCATTTACAGGATAATATTGATAACAAAACACCAAGAGAGAGAGAGAGAGAGGGAGAGAAAGAAAAGGAAACGCATGGAACAGAAAACACAGATAAACAACAACAACAAAAACAAAATTACGAGGACCAAGAACAAAAGGAATACAAAACGAAAGAGTTTAATTGAACCTTGCAATAGCCATGCAAATTATTTTACTCTTGTGACTGCGGTTAGGAAAACACAGAGATTAAACTCCATAATTTCTGGACGATGCGGATATATCCTTCTTGGTGTCTGAAGGTCAGTATGTTGTGTTTGTTTGTGTTTGTATGTTAGTTAGGTGTGTGTGTTTGCATGTATGTATTATGTGTGCGTGTATGTGTTGGTGTTATTTTTGTATGTGAATAAAAATGTGTGCGTGTATATTATTGTTTATTTGTTTGCTTTTGTGTATGTGTGTGTGTGTATGTGTGTGTGAGTGTGTGAGTGTGTGTGTGTGTGTGTGTATGTGTGTGTGTGTGTACGTGTGCGTGTATATGAATATGTGTGTATGTATATATTTGTGTGTGTGCTAGTGTGTGTATATAAGGGATGGGCTATTTCCCTCCTACACAGACCAAATAAAGGCTTCAATTCAATTACATACAGACAAAGAGATAAACGCAAACAAGAAAAAATATACAGACATAAAAGAAAAGAGAGAGTAAATGACATTTCTTAATTTCCGAATCTTCTTGTAGATATTTTCTTACTTTTTATATAATCCCAAGATTTTTTTTTCATTCAAGAATTTCATTGGTCATTCCATCTTTATACCAATGTCTTAACTGTTAGCAAGGAAACTATACATTTTTAAAATCCATAATATTCAAATACTCGCGTAATATCTACCTTTAAATCAATAAAGGTAATGAAGTTTGTGACGTAGAATTTCATAACAAAAGATTTTTTTGTTAAGGAGAATGCAAATTAGAAAAAAAAAAAATCTTACTCTCGCTTTCAAACCCACCTACTTTTTAATCCTTTCTCTAAAGTGACCGACCTTCATATCCATCTGTTTTTCTTCCTCTCTTTGCCTCCCACATCTCAACAAACCATCATCCTTACAGCCAAACAACACAGAGTAATCACAAACATTAAAATAACAATACAATAGAAGTATCATAACATATCAATCGACTTAAATCAAACATTTGAAAAAAAATATATATATATCGGCGGAGAGCATCCAGTTTAGAAAACGGAGTAGCGGCGGGCATGCTGAGTCACGAAGAGAGGCAACTTGGCGTAGAATGCATGCACCAGTTTTTGCTGTTTGACTCGAGCTTACATTCTGACCGGTTGGGGAGACCTCTGGCGGCGGCTAACACGTGGAAAGCAGGTTAGGGAACGGAGGACTCGTGCTCTCTCTCTGATTCCTTGCTTTTGTCTCTCTCTCTCTCTCTCTCTCTCTCTCTCTCTCTCTCTCTCTCTCTCTCTCTCTCTCTCTCTCTCTCTCTCTCTCTCTCTCTCTCTCTCTCTCTCACTCTCTCTCTCTCTTTCTCTTTCTCTCTCTCTTTGTTTCTTTGTTTTGTTACGTTTTGTTA